CCCACCCTATATCGAAAACTATAAATGTTGGAGGGACGGGGTTTGCGCCATTGAATTTCTCGACCCCAAAATAGGGTAAAAAACTATATCACAACCCCTCATACCCCCCAGAACATTTATTTCGTACCCACTCCCCAGATCCATATACCCCCACCCTATATCGAAAACTATAAATGTTGGAGGGACGGGGTTTGCGCCATTGAATTTCTCGACCCCAAAATAGGGTAAAAAACTATATCACAACCCATCATACCCCCCAGAACACGTATTTTATACCCACTCCCCAGATCCATATACCCCCACCTTATATCGAAAACTAAGACAGATATAGGGATGGGGTTTGCGCCATTGACTTTCTCACCCCCAAAATAGGGTAGAAACATATATCACAACCCCTCATACCCCCCAGAACACGTATTTTATACCCACTCCCCAGATCCATATACCCCCACCCTATATCGAAAACTATAAATGTTGGAGGGACGGGGTTTGCGCCATTGAATTTCTCGACCCCAAAATAGGGTAGAAATATATATCACAACCCCTCATACCCCCCAAGAACACGTATTTTATACCCACTCCCCAGATCCATATACCCCCACCCTATATCGAAAACTAAGACAGATATAGGGATGGGGTTTACGCCATTGAATTTCTCACCCCCAAAATAGGGTAAAAAACTATATCACAACCCCTCATACCCCCAACAACACGTATTTTGTACCCACTCCCCAGATCCATATACCCCCACCCTAGATCGAAAACTATAAATGTTGGAAGGACGGGGTTTGCGCCATTGACTTTCTCACCCCCAAAATAGGGTAGAAACATATATCACAACCCCTCATACCCCCAACAACACCTATTTTGTACCCACTCCCCAGATCCAAATACCCTCACCCTAGATCGAAAACTAAGACAGACAGAGGGACGGGGTTTGCGCCATTGACTTTCTCACCCCCAAAATAGGGTAAAAACATATATCATAACCCCTCATACCCCCCAGAACACCTATTTTGTACCCACTCCCCAGATCCATATACCCCCACCCTAACTCGAAAACTAACAAGGTTAGAGGGATGGGGTTTGTGCCATTGAATTTCTCACCCCGAAAATAGGGGGTATCCATGGTTTTTTACTGCTTTATAGACAAAATTTTGAAAGCTATATACATTTAGCAAATGGGGGGGGGTGTCGCCCCCTTACAGGTCAAGGAGGGCAATATAACTGTTGTAAAGGGTGTATTTGTATTTAGGAAAACATAACAAAACAATCTAATGGGGAAGAAAAAATATTTTGGCTGGGGGGGAATTCCACCCCTTGTAAGTAGGAAGGGGGAGGGGTTAGGTCGTCGGCGATGGTTCCATTGGATTCCTCACCCCAAAAATAGGGGATATTCATTATTTTTGTACTGCTTTACCGACATATTCTCCAAAATTATATATATATATTTAGTCAAAGGGGGGGGGGGAGGGTCTTCCCCTTACAGTACAAGGGGGCAGTATAAGTGTTAAAATGAGTTTATTTGTATGGAGGATAATATAATAAATAAATACACATGGAAACAAATATATTTTATTCAAAGAATATCCATCTACCCCTTGTAATTTGAAAGGGGGGGCTCGTAGGGGGACGGCGATGGTCCCATCGAATTCCTCGCCCCAAAAATAGTAGGGCTACATGGTTTATACAGCTGTAGATACAAACTGGAGAAAATCCCTGAAAGGGATCAAAAGTTTGAAAAAATTTCCCCGAATAGGGATAAATCTCGCTTAAAAAATCCCACTCCCCAGAGCCATACACCTACCCATTAACTTAACCTTTTAATCTTTTATTGATTGCATCGGTAAAATATTTTCATGTTTAATAAATAATAGGTTAGTTAAATGGGCCAATGACGAAGATATTCTTACTGAGTTTCAGGCTGGTTTCAGGAAAAACTATTCAACAATTGATAATATTTTTAGTTTAACATGCATGGCACATTTGCAATTTTATGCACAAGAAAAGTTATACTTTTTTTTTGTAGATTTTAGCGCCGCTTTTGACACTGTAGATAGACAATCATTAATGTACAAACTTTCATCTTTAGGTGTGTCAACAAAGTTTTTTAATATTATAAAACAATATTACAACGGTACAAGTGCCTCTGTCTGGAATCGAGCAGGTGTTACAGATAGTTTTAATACAACGATAGGTCTGAGGCAAGGATGTGTGTGTAGCCCTAGTTTGTTCAATTTATTTATTAACGACATGCCGGAGGAGATTGGTGGAGGAGTTTTGTTTGAGGGAGTCAAAGTGAATATTTTAATGTATGCTGATGATATAATTTTAATTTCTCCAACAGCTACTGTCCTCCAGCATATGATCAATCGATTAGATGATTATTGTGCACGTTGGAATCTTCGTGTAAATCTAAGTAAATCCAAAGTTATGGTGATTCGTAAAGGAGGCGACTGGGGTCTGCTGATCGTTGGTGGTACAGAGGCGAGCGTATTGAAGTGGTGAATGAATATACTTACCTTGGTATTACTTTAACTCCCTCATTATCTTGGATAAAACATTTTAAAGCAAAAGAAAAAGTGTCTAAATTAGCTATTAATTCACTTTGGGGAAATCTTATAAATAGCAACTAAGTCCCACTCAGGAAATTTTATTTTGGCTGTCCAATTTTGACACAGGAACAATATATAGAGATATTGAATGGGTGGGATTGGCGGGTCTTAAGCAATTATTTAAAAGATGCTTGGTCTAAAAGATGGGGGTTAATTCAAGAATTCAATCTGTGAGAATCATTTTCCCAAATGTCATTACTTTTAAAATCTTTTTATTATTATTTATTAGTTTCATTAAATTGTTATTATCAATCAGTTGTTGTACAAGTGCTAACCAGGTACGCCAGCCGCAACAGACGGGCTTTTTGTCCATAGTTGTATTTAGTGCTAAGAAGTTATTTTTGTTCACTTATTTGTAAATAAAAGCACTTTTTCATTTCATTTCATTTTTTTTCATTTCATTAACTTAACTAAGCCTACCAGCTGATTATAAAATTTAACTGTTCTAAACTAAACCTTAGAACCTTAACCAAACTGCAGTATGTGAGTAGGCCTAAATGTAGTAAGTGCAGCCGTAATTTGAATACAGTAAGTTAAATTTATTACAAGTCTCCTCAGGTTAATGTACACAATCATACTAAGCATTCAAATGGAACAACGGTTAAGTTACTTATTGTTCTCTGTAAACATTTATCTGGTATAATTTTGTTCACTTAACAACTTGCTTAGTTTTCCTCTTATTTTTTCTCTCAGTGTTTTACATGTTGAATTTGAAAATATCATCTAAGTTATGCCTAACTTATTTTTGTTGAAAAATCCCAAGTCCAAAACCAAAATCATAGTTTGTTCGTTATTCCAGCTTCAAGAATAATTAATAAATTGGTTTAACTTATGGTTGCCAGTTTCTTGAAAATTGTAGAACTCTCGCTCGATTCACATTTCGCCAAAAGTGTGGCATCTTCAGAGATGCCACACGCGCAGAGACTTGGCAATGTTGCAGTCTTGGAAGAGAAAGCTCTAACATCGCAAACTCACCCCCATCCCCTGACCGACCAAACATACCTCAAGCCAGTTGTCAGTCAAATAGTGACACATGTGGAGCCTCCTGTCCGCGCATGCGCTCGCACGCTTGGGTTCCTGCGACCTTACCGTGAATCATCGTCCGACCGAAAATGTGAATTGTGTTTGTTGTGTTAAGTAATGTAATCAACTTTGCTCCTGAAGATGCCCACACTTGTGGCAAAATGTGCATCGAGCAAGAATTCTACAATTTTCAAGAAACTGGCAACCATAAGGTAGCCAAAACCAACTTTTTAAAATCATAGTTTACGAACTAACCCTTCCTGGGCTATGGATGGATATATCCGTCAATCTCTGTTTACGTTCCCGGGGGAAAAAGATAGGCCTATGTCCGTCCTGAGATATTTCTCTTCTGGGCTTTAACTTAGACGGATAACTTGTATTAGTCCAAAAACTAATCGATAAGTTTGTACATTGAGGAATTATGGATAAGTAATAATTGCTGAAGCTGTTTCAGCTATTATTTTCTGCCATAATGTGTGTGAGTATTGGCAACTGTCAGTTTGCACAAAGTTGTTAGTGAGTGGTGTTTACAGTTTTGTTTTGTACCGGTACTTTATTTTATGTTAATGAGCTAAGCTTAAAACCAATCGAAACAATCAACATTTTAAAGAAGATGTTTTGAGTTGCTAACTAAAAGTATGTATGAGGAAGAATTCATACGTAGCATTGCAAATAATAGTATGGAGTGTGATTGATGTGATGAACCTGAACATAGAACAGTCTTTACATACTAGAAGTAGTCTTGATGGAAAATGGGGATAAGATGGGAGAGGAACTAAGAGGTTTAGATTTACTTCGTAATACATTTTGATTGATACAAAATATAACAAGGGAATGAACTTTAAGGTTTATAAGGATATATCCCCGTCTGGCGCCCACAAGAACATTTAAAATTATTGGCAGATGTTCATATTTCGTTCTAATCGCTACAAGCGACAGACGGGCTAAGAGGGATATATCTGTCAGATCAAATTTTATTTTCTTCACAACTTTTGTAAAAAAATTAATTCAACTCTAAGTTAAAGAAAACTTTCTTATAATTCATGAATTATTTAAAGCAAAATAATACAAAATAAACTAACTTTTAACTACTAAGTTTTAACTACTTAACTTTTAACTTTTAACTAAATTTTAACTTGGAAAAAAATAATGAAGCTCCAGCCTCTTATTTAATTTAGCCCTGGAAGGGTTAAAGCACAATTAAATAATTCCAATGGCTATGAGACTTCCCTACAGTACTTTTTTAGATATGAAGTAAGGCCTGTACACATGGGGAGAGTATTCCAAATTTTTATCTAAGTTCAAAATTGTCAGCCTTTGATACTATAGTAAACATATTTTCACTTTTCTGTATTTTTTTAGGAGGTTTTCTTCAAACTTTGAAACTTTGATATCAACGAACATGGATGATCAAAAGACCATAAGTGGTGAGCCTGAAAAAAAGAAACGAAAACTAATAGTCACTGAAAAGGAGGAAGGCAGCTCAGTTAAGTTTGATGGAAACCATTTCAGGAAACTTATTAAAGGAGATCATCCTCTTGGAGGTTTGTGTTTTAGTATTAAAATAATTTAAAATATTGGTTTAGGAAGAACCAGTTGAGCAGGGTTGTCACCTTTGGTTAGGGAAAAATCAGATCTTGTATGAGGCCTGTACTTCCTAATAAAAAACGGAAAAATAAAATTTACCACAGATAAATTATTGTTCCAATCCAAGAATGACTGCATGTTATTTAAAATTTTAAATTATATTTATCTTTCCTTTTTATCAAATAGGGGTTTTCAAGGTGTTCAAGATTCTCACTTAAAAGCTGGAAACAATGTATATTAATAATAATAAAAATAATCTTTTTAGGATTGATAAAATATGGATCAGGTGAATGGCCTCTCTTTATCTAGTCAATTATACTTTAACCTTCAACCCGCCGTCAAATTCTGATTATAGTGTGTATCCTCACATGATTTAGGATAAGATTTTGTGTTTCCTAACAAGCATTTAATTAAGTTAGGCCTAATTTGGAAACATCATCACCAACATACACTAAGAAAATTTATCCAAATCTAGTTAATGACCAAAATGTCATTCATTGGTTACACCCAATGTTGTGATCCAGTAAATGACCCGATGAAATCTTTTAATTACTGCTTGTTAGGATTTTGATCTTAGAATGAGTACAACATTGTACCTCTACTGTGTACTGTAAATTGCATAATGCAGTTTCCATCAATAATCAAAGGAGCATGACAAACCTTGTGTTATATGAGACGCTATAGTGGGTAGCGTGAAGATGAACTAGTTGGAACTCTTTATTGTTTATTTCATTTGTGTGCAAAAGGAGGATTGACTCTTTCTTTTGACAGGGTAGCTTACAATCAAGGTTCAAAGTTGCTTTTACGACCGCTCATCGATCATGATAGACCACGATGATTACAGTTAGCCTACAAGAATGATGAATTTGTTAATCTGAGAACAATTATTTCAATTAATTATGTCCAAGACCCTGATTAATCAAGATTACCCCAGTTATAGGGCCTACAACTTTAATTTGTCTGTCATTTTGTTTTGATTGATCAGAATCAAATTAGCCTTTGTGTATTCTTTTACATATATGTATAGTGTATACTTATAGGTTTTTAACTGTAGAGTTTCAAGTTAGTGAAGTGTTTGATGTCTGGTGTGACCTCTTTGTAAAGCACCCTTTATTATAATATTTTTACCTGAGTAAACCAATAACTCAACTTCTAAGTGACAATCACATCTCAATGTCATAGTCATGTTTGTTTTCAGCTGTAAAACAGCTTCTTGCGGTTGCCAATAACACTGGTGACCAAATCATCAATGACTACTTGATCGTGGGAGGCAGTGCTTTAGAAATTATCCTAGTGATTGACAAACTTGAAAGCAAAATATACTATCAGTACCAGCCGATATTTGCGGTCCTATCTTTAATAGTCACCAAGTAAGTGGTTTACTGTAATTTATTTAAATTCTATTAGCTGTAGGGTACAACTTGTTAAGCGGCATTTCATTCATTAGGAACGCTGAAATATTTATTCTTCTCCTGGTTTATTAAGCTGAGTTTTAATTGAATTGATTGAAATTAAATTAATTACTATAACTGTAAATTTAAAATTTGCAAGTGATAGGCTATCTAATGAATCAACGCAAACTCCTCCTAGACGGCTAAAGCAATCATTTTCAAATTTTGCATGGCAATAAAGACCATATCTGTAAATGCCAACATCTATATTGTGTGAAAAAATTCTTCCAGGAATCCACCAAATGAGGTCTCAAAGTTTCAATGTAATTCTCATGGAAGCAATATTTGACACATGAACAAAGGCATAAGATCAGCTGTAGACTTAAATACAGTACATCAGGAAACAGCTGATATAATTATTCCAACTGTTGATCTAAAACAGAAACGGTATGGATCATATACTTAGGCCTAAACAAATGACATCAATGGCTCGAATCTTATACTATATGGTTTCTTGAAGTTTTTTGACAGTTCTATTAATATAACCGTGGGATTGAAATTTCGCAAGCTTACTTGGAAAAACCTTATTTGATTATTTTACAGTTAGCCCTCATATTAGCGATGAATTAGTTAATAAAATGAAAACCGCAAGTTAATATAAATCACGTGAGATTCCAATGGGACAGGCCAGGACTGAACGACATGTTTTAATGTAAACAATGTTGACTGATGTAAAAAGCTTGGTCTGGACACAAGTCGATAATCAATGTTTACGTACCGGTTGATTGATTGATTTATTTAGTGAGGATCAATGACAAAGTAAAATAATGCCCTGACTCCGCTCAATTTTGTAGACGTCTCTGCGAACACCACGTATTACTAATGTTGACTTGCAAAGATACATTGTTTAAGATCGAATAAAAATAATTAGAGACTCAGCTAAACCATAAAGTAGTTAGGATTGTATTAGTTGACTGGAAATATCAGTGAGTTTGATTTATTATACTCTACCATAACGTTGTTGTATATGTCCCTGATTTCCAGTACCGTTTTGCGACAAATTTGTTATATTTCAATCAGGACTCTCAGGACCCCGAAATCCCAAAATCACTAAAATAGGTAACTTTTAAGATCCTCTGAACATTTAAATTTGGGTTTAAAAAATATAGATTATGGTAAAGAAGTCAAAATTATGAAAGTATAAAATTGCTTCAGTGAGGATAAAAATAATACAGTAATTACTATTAAAACAAGAGTAATAAGGGTGATAAAGCAAAATATAATTTCATGTAGGCCTATATGCTTTAAATTGATTAAACTGATTAGTTCCCTGTAGAAGACCCCCATCCCAACATAGGTAAGGGTCACATGACCAGGTTTCACTCAGCAGTTAATAAGGTCGTAGTTAAATATATCTACTTTAAATAAGTAAGCATAAACAAATATACTTCCTATCTGTTCAACTCAAAGTCACAATCAGTCTTATATCAGACACCCGTGATGGAAAACAAGGTATGGTAGTCTTATACACTTCTATCATCTGTTCCATAGATGCAGAGAAGACCATCCTCGCTTCATCCCCAACACTGAGGAGGCATGCAAACGTTTGCTGCGACACAACAACCAAGCTATCCATGCCAATTTGGGCCCTAACAGCTCTCAGGCTCAGAAGAAAATCACCCTCTCTATGCTTACTGGTTGGTTAATCTTTTTACACTTATTATAACATTTAGGCACCCTAATCATCGCACTTCAATTACCAATATCATTGTGTGTTTTTTTTTGGGTTATTTTCCATGTAGGGAATAAGTTACTACCATAGATGTCACGGCAAGACCTGGACCCAGCACTGATTTACTTTTTCGTTTTGATGTTATTCAACCCAATGTTATTTAAATGGGGAATAAATCTAACATATCTCACAAAATATGTAGAGAATAAGAAATTCACTTAGTCTGCAGGTTTGCTGCTGCGGGGATATTTCTGTTATGTATGTTTCACAGTAGTAAATATTCTATCTCTTTCAACCAACTTTTGCCGATCTGTTATTCAAATAGTTGATTGAGCTATTCACAGATTGTGACTGTCTTGGATTTATCTCAATTCGACTACCTACATTAATTTTCACTGTACAGATCTAGGAATGCCGAATGGGGATGTCTTTTTCTCTCCATAGTCAAAGTTTACAGTGATGGAAATGTGAATTGATTACAGAATTCATTAAACTATCCTTGAGTTCTATACTTTATCTCTTGCATTACAATATTTAAATTAACTTTGTCACAAATCATGGATAGGTATTGTAAACCTGGCAGATTTGATTTAATACCAGAAAATAAAGGCTCACAATGAAAATGACTTCAGTCATCCTAACAATTTTGGAAATGTGTTAACTCGTAAGTACGAGTAAAAGTAAAAGTAGTTTCTAGTTTCTAGAAACTACATTTGCTCAGTGGTAATCCTTCTACCTATGAATATATTTCTGAACCTAACCTAGGAAAGAACTCTTTGATTAAAAATTGAGCTCCTTTATGCATCTACTTGCAACCTTAAAATTAGGAGAATTAGGTAGACTATTATTGCAACACCTAAGGATCCAGCCATCTAAGAAGTCACAAGAATCCTGAGGATAATAATGAAAAATTGTGCATTTATCACCATAAGTATACTCTCTTGTTATGAGGTTAGGTTTCAATAGAAAGGGCTTATTGCTTGAGAATAAGGGAAACAAATGATAGGATAAGCAGGGTTACCTTTAGAAATGTAGGCATCCCACTTCACTACAGAAACACAGAAGAAAACACAAAAGAAACACTGGATATTTCGAGGCCACTGACCCCTTCCTCAACATTGAGAGTCACATTATGATAGGGATAGAACATAAATGATTATCTTTGACTGGGGCTATTGACTACCTAGCCATTTGGAACTAGTGTATTGTCACTTGTCAGAATATTATTTTAATCATCATCCCAACATGTCAGAGATGATCTCAAGACAATTCTAATCTTTATTCTGTTGCCCCACCAGCCATGGTCCTTTTGAGCTGTCAGCTGGCAAGAGAGGTTCTGTCTACTTTGTCTCTGCGAGAACTCACTGTCAATCATCTGGTCAAACATCCTGTGAAGTATGATGAAGACTGCACTAGAGGTCACTTCATCAGATACACTCTCGCCTACTTCTACCACGACAACACTCTGCTAATCAGGCAGCTCTTGGACAACAGGAGTGAGTGATGATTACTTTAATTATGTGGCACTCTTATCCAACAGGGGCAGGCCAAGACCATAAAGCACTTCATCCGAAAAGTTGAATTATTGCACACAAGGTGGCACTCAAACCGTAATATGTTTATATAGCCATGCCAACTATTTGTATCTACCTCAGCCTTGCATAATCTTTTCCTCTAATCCCATCTTCAGGGCTGGATTTAGCATTTTAGCTCCCCTAGGCCCAATAATTTTTCCGCCCCTAAATCTAGTTAAATTTACTTTACCTACAAACCTTTATCAAAAACTGTATCAGGCCTATGTGGCAATTGCTTAAACACTGTTCCACAATGCAATTTTTACCATTGCAAGCTTTTTGAAGAATTTACTTGGGCCAAATGCCGTCTTAATCACGTTTAGCATTCTTATCTATCAAATAGTACTAAAACAAAACTATCTAACCCGTAGATCATTCCTGCAACAAAGCATGGCCATTGCTGCTGCCACAGTTGCATCAAATTTCAGCCCCAAACATAAACTCCATACAGTAAGTGGTACCATAGATTAAACATCCACCTTAGTAGATATGTCATACGCAGAAATTAAAACACAAATCATAAGGGTATTGAATCCATCTAAAACCTATTGCTAACTCAGACTACGGTATTTTTTTGTTAATATTAAAGACGAATATCATCATCATCGCTTTTTGAACCATCAACACCATGTACTATATATACTGAAGTATTTTAGCTTGATACTGCAGGTTGTTGTAATCCAACTCTTTTGTTTTGCTAGGTTAGATTTTAGGATTTTACTTTTTGACAAATTTATCAAACAAATAAATTGGAAAAATAGAGTTATGAGCTTATCTAATAACAAAATCCAAAATTTGATTCAAATTAATTAGTATTATTATACTAGTTCCATAAAGTAACTTAGTTTAAATCAAAGAAGTTTTTGAATTAGATAATCAAACTAAGCATGGTACAACTGTACTTTTTATTTATTTCCCACGGTTAAACCATTTTTTTGTACTTGATAGTTAGCAGGTAGCTTTTATGTTAATTACCTAAGTTGTATGTAAAACTGAATCCAACCTTTTTCAGACTTACTACAGTCCATTATACTGGCCGGTTTAACCCTGGATGATGGACAACTTTTGATGGTTTTCCTGACAACATTAAAAGAGAAAATTGTTGACAATCCTCAGATCACAAAAACTTCGAAGCTTAAAATGTTCAACACGAAGATAATGATGAAGTTTCTGGAAACTTACACATGGACGGGTCCTTCAACCAAGGGTACAAACAAAGAAAAAAATGTTGAATTGGTGAGTATTGTAAAAGACTTTTAGTACCACTATTAACTAATTCAAATTCATTTGCATTGTAATTTGAGTCGCTCAATGAGTAGTTCAGCAATCAAAGCAAGCACTTTATTGTAGTTTTACTGAATCCATTTTAAAACAGTTGGGTCTTTTCTATTGATTATTTTAAAATTTAAAAACTCCAGTCAATTTTAAAGAAGCTGTGAGTGTGTTAAAAGATTTAAATATCTTTTGACTTGTTCATGAGTGTTGATAGTTTTGCCAAAAAAAATTATGGTTGGTGTAATATTTTTACAAGAATTGAGAATATTAAGGTAAGTATACACAGGGTAGTTTTAGTTGAAGTTTAAGAAACATTAAAAATCCTGACTGGCACAATTGAAAAAACATTGGGTGGTCACAACAGAATTGTAAAAATATTCTGCGTTTGCGGGGACATCTCCGTCTTCTACAATCATAGCTAAAACATGAACGTCTCCATTGGTCGTGGAGAATTGGTGAAAATCTTTTGCGGTCATAGAAACTTAGGCCTAATCAATTGACCGAACAAATAATTTTCAATCAGGTAATCTGTGTAGATTTTGGCGTGAGTTTCCACCATAGCGAGGACAAAAGCTTGGATCAAAAAAATCAAATCCACTAACAAATCATTGGTAAAATTAATTTTCCAGAGAATGAATTTTCTTTAGGGCACCAAGTGTGTCCTTTGGCAACCGCCGTGTCCGCTGTTAGGGCAATACAGCCCTGACTACATGGTTTAGCTAAATAAAGGTAGGCCTAATATTTCATATCCTCAGAGATATAATACAATGTGAGGTTTAATCAATAAAATTGTATCGAAACAAAACCTTTAACCAAGACTACTATTGTTTCTTGTTGTTGGACTCAGTTTATGTTAGATGTAAGTGTAGACCTACTGTGTAAGCAAGCTGTATGTTTTAGGCAGACGATGTGATAGCTTCTCTACATCAGCTGTTGCTGCAGTTGTGCACAAACACAAAGCTGGGTGTTGCCTTTGTTGACCCTACACTTGGACTCGACCAAAGGAACTACAACGAACTTGTGTTTTCTGTCATTAAGGTACTTATTAGATTAATAAGTAACCGTTTGCTAAGTAATCGTTTAAGGAATACTTCACAGTGCAGGTATGACTGTTGATGGGGCTACTTTAATTATTGTAATTTCCACAGCAAGAGTGGACAAATTTATTTACTTGCAAAATATTTTGGCATTTCATTGTAACCATATTTAGGAGTCCATTGCATAGTTGTGTTTGAATTGCCAACATACTTTAAATATAAGTTTAAAAACTGTTAAAAACAACCACAATAAGGATTCAAACTGTAGCACTATTGTAATTTTTTTCATTTTTTTTACATTACGATGCATCAATTTTCTTCACAGGTGATTTGTCATAAAGTCTAACTTTGTCCTCATGAAGTAATCAACATAAAGCCGGTGCCACACTATCCGGTTTAGCGGGATGCATTTTTACTGCATTGACATTACCCTGTCACACTTGTCCTGTTCTACCGCAACAAACAAATGTCGAGTGAAAGCGACAACATTATTCTACACGACAGGATATAGTGTGGCTGCTCTCATTTAACTGAATGTATTTTGCCTTTCATCCCGTCGTCCCGCTATTACGCAACCGCAAAAATGTGACCGCTCCCATTAAAACCCATGAGTTTGAATCATCCTGCCAAACGGGTCCCGTTTGACCAGACTGGCGAAACGGGATAGTGTGCGCCAGCCTAATACAATACAAAACAAATTAAATAATCAATTCAAACCTATGGGAGGAGTATTAAATATCTTTTTAATCCATCCATCATATTTAGTTGCATTCATGTCCAATTTGTGAAATTGATGCCAGCACAGGTTTCGATGTAATGCCAGCTCAGGTTTAATAAAGGGTTTTACTCATTAAAACTCAGGTGTTTTCATTAGTTGCAGTCAAACTAAACTTTTACATGAAGTAAACATTTGACCGATCATAGAACATCTTACAAAATGTAGTCATGCAAATTGTAGAACACTTTATAGTAGCCACCCTATCAAGTCAAATTTTAGGGTTGGGAAAATAGGTTAACCTCAAATAGGCTAAATGAAAATAATTAACGAAGCTATTGTATTTGTTATCACAGTCCATGGATCCTTACTGGAACGTAGTCCAGGTACGAGAGTTGGCTCTCAACATAGTGACAGCCTGCCCTGATCTTGTGGCTCCGACGTTCAGGCACTTCGGAATACAAGGCTTTCTCCAGCCTGAAGTCACCTTTTCATTCTTGTACACATGCAAATTTGCAAAACAGGTAAGAATCACATAATTTAAAACTATGTTTGGTGATACAAAATTACAAAATGTATTGTGTTTCCATTTAAAATACACCTTCTCCCAAAAACCTTCTCCCCATAGTTTTGCGAAATTTCCCATTTAGAAATGTACAACGGTTTACGTATTAGCTGTTTTAAATACTTGTTCTCACTAAAACTATTATCTTGGACTTAATTTCACAAATGATCCTGGTTGTTTGACAGGTTGTTGACGGACTATCAGCTGAACGCAACCTGATGCTCTCTTCGGCCAGTGTGGATCAGCTGACTCATCTGACTGTACGCACAGTGTTCAACATGAATCTGTTGTCGTGTGTGCGAGAAGGACTGCAATGTACCCATCCCACCCTGAGACTGCAGGCAGTTAAGCTCCTCAACGCCGCATTCCAGACCCTGGATAAGTTTTGCACAGCGGTCAAAACGAGATATACAACTTCCCCTAAGACATTCCTTGAATACCAGCAGAGAATAAACGACCATATTACTAAGGTAAGGGGGAAACGTCGATTAATGAATTTGATAGCTATGAGAGTTTGGTTTTGATATTTTCAACTAGGCTAGTTTGAACTTTATATCAGGGGTCAAATGAGGTTTCACTATTGGTGTAGATGCTTTGTTAATTTAATTGAAATTATTTTATAATCATCACTTTGTAAGTTTGGAAGCTAGTTTTTTTAGACCCCTGTTTTAGTCACCAATACTGACATGTTTCAAATTTTGTTTGGAAACTTGCCTAAAAGAAACACATTTTTGTGATGAACACAGCTTTTTGATTGACAATTGATAATTGAGCACCCACGATGGTTAGTTATACTGCAAATAAACTGATACTCTTCTTGACAAAAGCAGTATCAAGTTTCTAAAAAAACTCGGCTGCAAACACAATGTATCTCCAGGATTCCATAGTCACATATTGATGTTTTGTGGTCTTCGGGCGATGATCATGTTAAAAAAGATAAAACACTTCCAAATATGGTTCTTCAGGGTGCCTTGACTCTTTATTTCAGAAACTGTTAAAAACTGACTTCTGTGATGTTAATTTAGATTGTGTTGTATTTTTGGTGGGGAAAATTTAACAGATATTTTTATAAACATAAATATTTATTTATATGAACAAACAGAAATCTAAACTGATGATTCCAGAATGTTGCCCTTGAGCAACAGCTGATGATGGCGTGGAGTCTAGGAGTGGGGGGAGAACAGGGAACACTGAAGACTCCTACAGAGACAGAGTATTACCTTCCTCTGGTAGATCTGCTGCTCTCCTACTCCCAGGTGTTCCCTGTGTACCTACCCCCAGTGTTTGTCACCCAGCTGCAGACGACAACACTGGACACCATCAACCCTCTGACTAAACAGCTGTTTGACGTCAAAGTCATTAAGTTTATCACTACCTTTAGAAATGTGCAACCGTCTCAGGTAGGCCTGCGCTTTAGTGCTCTGGTGTTGTTAATTATTGTGAAGCTAAGACGTTGATGTTATTTTACAATTTATGTGATGTAAGGCTAAGTTTTAAGCTTCTAAACATCTTCAGATGTCATAAAACTTGTTTTTGTAAAATAAGTTGTCCTCTTTTAACCCCAGAAATTTGTCATCGACATAGGCCTCAATACATATGTGGCAATGCAAATGAAGGGGTGAGTCGATACCTAAAATTATTCTTCACAAATCATTAGTCTTTTACTTGAAGCAAGTACAGGGCCAAATTGACTTTTCTTCAAGTTTATCTCTTAACTGAACTATACACATATATGATAATGATAAACCATGAATATCAAAGTAATTTCAATCCAAAGAAATTTGATTGAGTGTCAAGCACAATGTTTCTTGTAAGTTATTATCTTTTTTTACGATGAAAATTCATTTACATTTCATTTTTCTCAAGGAGAGAAGAAATAAACATCATTTAATGATAATTGCTTCGGCCATATTTATCAAAGCTGGAAGCTAATCTGTAAAACCAAGCCTTTATAATGTCTCATTTTGTGTTTAAATTCACAATCATTTAACCAAGCAAACACTTTGATTTCAGGAAGAGTTTGGGGAGATGCTGAAGACCTTAGTGCCTCTGTTAGCCTCTCAAGACGAAGCCAAGCTAGTGCTAAAGAGGCTATTGATGCAGTCAGGTTACTTTGAGGGTGTAGAGGCTGAGGTGGATCTGTGGGTGCTGAACTTGTCTCGGTTCCCTGCTGAAGACAATCTGGATTTGCTACTGGCTGTGGTAGATCAGGCAGTCAACAAACCTAAACACTGCATGAAGATGATCAACCAGACTACCATCAGCACTGCAACCTCAGATACCAACGAATTCAACTGGACGGAACTTATTGAAAGTTAGTTTAACAAAATCTTTTGTAAATGTTACTGTGTGTCTTTATTATGAGTTACATATTTTTCCTACTGCGTGGTAATGGTCACAATGCCACATCTGAAAACACTATGCAAAATAGCTCATTTCCGCTTTATTCATTCCCGCTTTATTCATTCCCGCTCTCTAAATCTGTTTATTTCACTAATGGTGTTTCTATAAAACATTAACATCTGGTAAGCAAATAGAACCCTTTCTAAACCATTGTGTTGAGGTTAAAAAAACAAATAATTTAGTATATAGAAGCATTGTTGTATGCCTGACAGTTACGGAGAATATTCCAAAAATGTGAAAATTAAAACTTTTATGATACAGTTGAACCTCGTTTGTACGAACCTCGATTAAACGAATTCCTCGATAAGACGAATTTTTTTTTATCCCCTTGACACTTTCATATAGGTCAATGTTAAAAACACCTCTATACAACGTTGTAATTAAGTTAAAAGCCTCCATAAGACGAATTTGTTTGTGACATAGGCTAGGACTGATTAACCTCTATACAACGAATATTCTTAGTACAAAACCTCTACAAGACAAACGTGACCTCTATAAGACAAATTTATCATAATCTTAACCTCCATAGTACGTAGTTTTCAAAACAAACAGAAGCTTGTCTCAACATGAAACCCCCACCCATCCCTCCTCTTTCCTCAGTCATTGTTTGGAGAAACCTTGGAGCGAGGTTCTCTATAAGAAGAATAACAGCAGCATTAAACCTCGATAAAACGACCCTCTTTATTAAGAATACCTCTATAGTACGAATTTTTCCCGTACCCCTTGAAATTCGTCTTATAGAGGTTCAACTGTATTCTAATGGAGTAAAGGAAAACTGTTGTAGTTTGCTTGTTTATGGATATAGGTACTTAAATCAAATTTGGCAATTTTGTTTATTCACTATTAAGACTAAGTTATTAACATTTCAATAACACCTTCTACCTTCCCTTTAGCAGCAAACCTAATTACTCATTCAAATTCAAGTTATTTATACAGGAAATAAATATGACAATTTTAAGAAAATATTTCAGTAGAAATCCAACGAGGAAATTCACTTAGTCTGCAGGTTTTCTGCGATAGGGGTATTTTATTTTCTGGTTTAGTTTTCCAAGTCACTAGGACCAGATATTTATAAAAAAAACAAAAGTTACAGTTATTCCTCAAAAGCGTCCTCGCTTAATATTTTGCATGTTGTTTATGCTGAATATCTTGTTAAATAATTATTTTTCCTTTGTTCCAGTGACCAAAAATCCTCTGAAAACATTGACACCGACACAAAGAATGCTTCCTGGAACAAGATTAAGTATCTTAGTACCTGCTCTGGTCAGAGTTGTTAATCAAAAATCAGAAACAATTTCGGGAAGTTCTAAATTTGTTACTCATCTTTTAAGTGATATCCTTTTTAGCCAGGTAAATAATGTAATCATTTAACCTATAGGCCTACCGTTATTTTATAGTAAGATATGTCTTACATTATGATGCTACATTTCCAAATTTCCTTGATTCAGTGAAATTAAATGATAATTTTGATGATTGGAAAATGTAAAGCATGAAGCTATGAAACAAGTATTTTTCATATAGTTCATTCATGTATACAAGAACTTTTTTACCAAGTCAAACTGGTTGTACGACTTATTGTGAGCTATAGCAACCCAGGGTGTCTACCAACCGGGAAATCCGGTAAAACCGGGAATTGTACTTAATTTTTTACTGGCCATGAAATGTACGGGAATTGTCCTTAAATGCCAGACTATGTCCTTAAATTTTTAATGGGCCATAATTTTATTGGTCGCTAGTTGGTTAGGAGCACATAAAAGGTTTATCAGATGTTTGTTTACATTTTCATTATTTATTACTAGAGTAATTATGCAATAAAAATCCCATTAGCAATCTCAAACCATTAATATTTTATCACGACAATCAAGTGTCAAGTCAAGTACTTCCAAGAACTGTTGACTCAGTTAGCTAGCTCATAAAAGTTGTATCACTTTTATTCCTCTACAACTTCTTTTTTTATTACTAGGGCTTATTATGAGATTATATTATGAGGAATTATTATGAGATCCCAAACCTATTTTATCGTGAAAATAATAGCTTTATAATGGCTGTTAAATTTCACTTCTTACTTGTACTTTCGGCTTGAAGATTCAATTTGCCGCGGCCATTGCCTAGTGCTATAAAACTGTTTATGGTTTCATATTAAACATGTAAATAATCTACAGTCTTTTTTTTGTAAGTTAACCCCTTTTTTATGGATATTTTATACAATACAATACAATACAATACAATATTCTTTATTGTTAATTCGTCAAGAATTACAATAGTGTCAATACAATAGTGAATTGTACATGTTAATTTTCATAAAATTCTTTTATTGAGTAGAAGGGTCTTGCGATTAGCCACTTCTTCAACTCCTGGTGTAGCTTGTTGCCAGTCAGGTCTCTCAGGTAGTCAGGTAGATGGTTCCTCAGCTTGCAGCCGGTGTAGGAAGGTTTTTTCTCCCAAAGAGTTGTTCGGTGAACAGGTAGTGCAAATTTGGAGCCATGACGGGTGTTGTAGTGGTGCAGGTCTTGGTTTCTTGGGGGGTTTATTTCATTCACATACTTTATAGATTCAAGTATGTAGAGAGACACCACTGTGAGGATTCCTAGGTTTGCAAATGCTAGTCTGCAAGTCTGTGGTGGGACAAGGTTGGCGAGGGCTCTTATGGCTTTCTTTTGAAGGACAAGAATTCGATTCATATTTTTTGTTGAAGTTCCTCCCCACACTGTCAAGCCATATCTAAGATGCGACTCTACCAGTGCGAAGTAAGCTGTTTTGGCCACGGAGAGTCCGCCTATGTAGTTTATTCTTCTGACGACATATATTCCAGTACTGATTTTTTTGCTTAAGTGGTTGATGTGCTCTTTCCATGTTAGTTTGTTATCAAGGATAACACCGAGAAATTTTGTGTGGTTTTCTATTGTTACATCCTCTAATTGAGGGACTACGTCTTTTTTCTTACTGAAATTCAGAGATGTGGTTTTTGTGGGGTTTATTGCTAAGTCATTGTTCTTTGAGTAGAGGATAGCTTTATTTAGGATCGATTTTGAATTAAGGTAAAGGTTTTGGGCTGTGTTGTCCTTGATCAAAATGGTTGTGTCATCTGCATACATGATTGCAACAGCATTTTCACTCTCAATTTGTTTGGGGAAGTCATTAGTCAATAAGATGAATAGAATCGGGCCTAATACAGAGCCTTGTGGAACTCCTCTCGTCTACTTGCTTTTTGAAGATTTGAAACTTTCTGTGACTTCATTTGATGAGTTTTTCAGTTCCACAACTTGTGAACGTCCCGTTAGGTAGCTTTTGAACCATTCTAGCGCAGAGTTTCTTATACCGAGTCTTTCGAGTTTCTTGCATATCAGGTCGTGGCCCAGGCAGTCAAAAGCTTTACTGTAATCAAGGAAGATGGCGGAAATGTATTGTTCGTTTTCTATCTGGTCTAGGACGTACTCAATTAGTGCTGTTATAGCTGAGGATGTAGATTTATTCTTCCGAAAGCCATGTTGGCTGTCAGTTAAGAGTTTGTTATGATTAAGATGTGCCATTAATCTAGCCAGAGCAATTTTTTCTATGATTTTAGAGAAACTGGAGATGAGAGAGATGGGCCTGTAGTTTTGAGCATTTTCAGTTGGTCCTTTTTTATGTTTGGGGTATATTTTACTGACTTTTATGGCGGATGGGAATTTGCCTTCTTTAAATGATTTATTTATAAGATAAACCAGAGGAGAGATGAGTTCTTGAGAGCAGTGCTTTATCATCTTAGAGGAAAACTCATCCATTCCACTTGATGTTTTGGCTTTTAGGGAGTTTATTATCGTTTTAACTTCTTTATAGGATGTTGAAGTTAGGGTAAGGTGTATTGGGCAGACTGGTTCCTCTCCATTCAGCACTGTTTCAGGGTCTATAACGATTGCTCTGTTTTGGTCAAGGGTATTTTCTGCTATATTTGAGAAGAATGTGTTGAAGTGTTCAGCCATTTCTTTTGTGTCGTTTGTGAGTTTGCCATTTATTTCTAATTCTGTAAGGGTTTTCTCTTCACATTTTCCTTTTCTTTCCTTGTTTATAACTTGCCATAGTGCTTTTGGTTTGTTGTCAGCTTGTTCTATGAAGCTAGCTGTTGAGGACATTTTTAGGTTTCTTAGTTTCATGTCGTATATCCTTTTTCTATTAATCATTTCTAATTTGTCTTCATTTCTGTTTGTTAACTCAAATTTTTGCAGAGCTTTCAAAAAGTTCTCTTTAAGGTATTTTGCTTCAGGATCGTAGTACTTCATATGTTTTTTGTTTGTACTAATTTTAGTTTTCTTTAATGGGCATGTATAATCCAGTGCTGTTTGAAGAATATTATGAAATTGGTTGTAGGAGGTTTCAAGATTCGGTGAAGAGTAAACATGTTCCCAATTTTGTAGATGGAGGTGAGCCTTTAGATTGTTTAGGTTTGTGTTGTTTAGGCTTCTTTTCATTACAAATCTTTGGGAAGTGTCTTCTTGGTGTGTTTTCAGCAGGCATAGCTGCGCAGTGTGGTCAGATAGACCAGTATGCACAACTTGTCCAGTAATATACGCACATGGTATGTTTGAGCATATACAGTCTATTGAAGTGGCTGTGTCATGGGTTATTCTGGTGGCCTCTAGAGGAAATCTCCAGATGTTTTGTGTGGTTAACTCTTCTTCCAGCATGGTGTTTTTGGAATCTTGGGTGAGCCTGTCGATATTTATGTCACCGATGAGTATGAGGTTTTTCTTGTGTACTTCTTGTAGTTCTAGCGTGTCTGATAGGAGGTCAAGGGCAATTCTTGCATTTTCGATTGGTGGTCTATAGATTCCCAGAATGTAGATATCCTTTTTCTTTGTTGTCTGCATGCGAATCATTGCTGCTTCGAAAATTAACTCCTGGCATGTGTTTGATATGTTAATAGCTGATACTGTATCAGCAAGGGATTCCTTGGAATATATTGCAACACCTCCAAGTTTATGTTCTTCTCTACTAAAGTGGGTAATTAAAGAGTAGCCGGGAATTTTTGTAGCTTCTAGCTCTGTTTTTTTTCAGTCCGTGTTCAGTCAAGACTAGAATGCTTGGTTTTGTGTCATTGAGAATATGGTGTAGTCTGTTCGTCTTTGTAGCAAGTCCTCTGATATTTTGGTGCATTATTGCTACACAAGAATTATTTGGAGATTTGCAGATTTTTCTTTTGCTTTTTTCAGGCTGTTTGTTTCTAAAAAAGGGGTTATAGTATGGGACACTGTAGAGTGATTGGATTGTTGACTTGAGTTGGGTTCCTGCAGCTGCTCATGTTTCTGTTCTCCTTGAGAAGAGAGGCAGTCCATCTCGGTCATGTTTAGTCGCTTGGTGTGTGACAGAATATTCTTTTTATATAGGTCTATATTTTTCCAAAAGAAGTCTTCAATGGTCTCTCCCGGCTTCAGAAGCTTGGCGGTGATCGGGGGTTTCCCTGTGTTCTTTGGTTTAGTTGATTTGTTTGGGGGAGATATAGTGCCCTTGAAAGTAGAGCAAACTCCTTTTGGGATTTTGATGGCCTTGGGTTCTTTAATATTTTGATTTAGTGTTTGTTGTGGTTGACTTTGGTGTTCTGGTGCTTCATTCCTCAACTTGCTTTTTGCTATTTGCAAGGAAACACTGAAATGGGTTTTCTTAGTAGTTGAAAATTTGTTTTTATTATATGAAACTCGTCTTGGTGTGTTAATTGGCTTGCAAGGAGTCTCCTTTTTCTCAGTTATTAGGTGCTGGGAATCTTCTACTGTTATTTTATCTTCTAATTTCTTCATTTTTGACTCCATATTATTCTGTTTTTCTTTTAGGGCCTTTAGTTCAAGTAGAATTAGTGTTTCTGTGTTTGATGCTTCTGGCTTTTTGTTGTCTGAAACTGTGGATTTGTTTGTGAGGTCCTTCGCCTCTGTAGTGGTTGTCTGTGTGCTTGTCTCTCTGAATGATTTTGTAGATTCTTCTCCGGTGTTTATTCTGCTGCATGTATTTTTTTGCCTAAGGCATTTAATTTCATTCTCCATGTCCTTTATTTTTGTGATGAAGCTATTAAAAGTTTCTTCCCTGTCTTTGTCATAATCTTCAAATGTTTTTGTGAGAGTGTTTCTTAGGCTTACTTCCTTTTCCAATTGGTGTTCTAGTTCAGTTATTGTTTCGATTAGGTTGTTGTTTCTAATTAGAATAGTATTTTTCTCGTCTTCTAGTTGTTCAATTTGAGCGTGGTAGCTCATGATGTCGATGGTTTGTATGTTTGTTAGTTTCTGGGCCAGACTCGAGTTTTGTTGAGTCAGGTTGAGTACTTCTTCTCTTAGTTTGCTATTTTGTGCTAGAAGTGCGTTTCCAACTTCTGCTGCAAGTGTTAGAGAAGTTTCTAAATCGGGATCTTCTGAGTTTTCTAGTTCTAGAATTTTGTTTTCAACCTCACCCATTTTGTTACCCTGACTTTCAGAGGATATTTGATTTGGGGGTGTGGGAGTTTGGTCTTCTTTTAGTTGTAACGCTGGCTTTCCAGAGGTGAGGGAAAAATCACTACAATTGTTACACCTCCATAGGGAAATGTCTTCTTTAGAAAGGTTTTTTAATTGTTTTTCTGTGATATTGACACACCCACCATGAAACCAGGAGTTGCAGGGACCAGTACATTTTATACTGGAATATTTTACACCGATGTTGCATTCACCACACGGATATTTTGAAACTTTTGTTTTGTTCTTTGACATAGTTCAGGTGTAAAATTGTATCAGTTTTGAAAAGTTTGGCTGGTTCTTTATGTCAGGGGTCTTGAAGTTCAGGTGTAAAATTGTATCAGTTTTGAAAAGTTTGGCTGGTTCTTTATGTCAGGAATCTTGAGGTTTAGGTTAAAAATTCTAACAGTTTTGAAAAGTTTGGCTGGTTCTTTATGTCAGAAATCTTGAGGTTCAGGTTAAAAATTATATCAGTTTTGAAAAGTTTGGCTGGTTCTTTATGTCAGGAATCTTGAGGTTTGGGTTAAAAATTGTATCAGTTTTGAAAAGTTTGGCTGGTTCTTTATGTCAGAAATCTTGAGGTTCAGGTTAAAAATTATATCAGTTTTGAAAAGTTTGGCTGGTTCTTTATGTCAGGAATCTTGAGGTTCAGGTTAAAAATTATATCAGTTTTGAAAAGTTTGGCTGGTTCTTTATGTCAGGAATCTTGAGGTTCAGGTTAAAAATTATATCAGTTTTGAAAAGTTTGGCTGGTTCTTTATGTCAGGATTAGAACTATTTAAATAAATAAATAAATTTATTTCTGTTGTCAAAAATTTGTGTAGATTTATGAAGAATACAGTGTTGCACTGTATTACTGGTTGGTAGTAGGTTGTAGACACTGTTAGAAGTGGCAGTGTCTGTGGTCAGTTTGCTGAGCGTCCAGTCAGCAACTCTCAGTTCAAACACTCCCAGGCAGCAGGTGTCGTGTTGGAAGTGATGAATGTGTAAAGCTGTGAGTTGGCTGTGACGTCACTGCTTGGTTGTCAGTTTGATATATTTGCAGAGTTTAATTAAAAGAATTTGGGCACTTGTATGTAAAATTGAAACTTTTAAACTATGCAATGTTTACAAGATAACCATCTGCTCTATGAATTTTTGAGGTAAATGTTATTTTTGGTGTTAAACTTGTATTAATAACTTACAGTCATGTTCAGTTAGTCATATTGGCTTTTCATGAGATTTTCTTGAGGGTCACTTAAAATCTTGATTGTCTTAAAATCTTGATGAGTTGTTGTTTGTATGTGTGTTGTTTAATTAGTAATTTTGTTGTTTTTTACCACTAAACTACACTTTAGATATGGGAGCACTTTGCAGGTGATGCTAGATGTCCGCCATCTTGGTTTTTTTTTTTTTTTTTTTTATCTTTCAATTGACAAAACCACAAGCATTGTTGTTTGCATTAATGTTTTATCACTATGTAGGCCTGCTTGGTTTCAAATTATGTCATTGCATTTTCTGTATCTTTGTCTTATATTGTTGGCTATTCAGGTTTCAATGTTTTTTGTTTCCCATATATTTATTTATTGAGTTGTATGCTTTAAGCAATCTAAATCTTATGAACTAGAATGATGATAGTGACTTTGCTGCTATTATAACCTCATTGTTTGTTACCCAGTTTATATAGGCCCTCCTATATAATTAGGCCTAGGCCTGGGTATTTTGATTCTTGAAATAGCTGTAAAATATATTAAGAAAATGTAATTGAGCCTAGATAAACAACTAATGATAGCTATGTGTCAATATTAACTTTGCAAATGAAAATGCAATACTCTTAGTCTGTGCTTATTGCTTATTGGTAGCCGCTTACAATACCTTGATTTTGTACTAAGAACTGAGTAACAATATGCATTAAAGATTTTTTTTTTAATTAGTCGAGAGCCTAACGTTGTGCCAGGGCGAATCATGCCAAATTAATACGCCTGGATCGTATAAGCTATGTTATGAAGTTTATGTGACCGATGGAAATATTTGTCGCGATCGCAGGAGACAATGATTGCGTTTCTCTGTTACACTATAAAAGCTTTACCTAAGTATAGGTAGGCCTATGCTTGTTTACTTTCAATAAATTTCTATTTTGAAATTTTTAACTCTTAGGCTATCTATTATTATTTACTTTTCTCTCTGGTACAACTGCAGTTAATAACAAGATTAATACAGTTTGAAAAATCAGGAAAATTATTCGGTAGGCCTAATGACACCGACAAAGGTTACGGCAAAGTGTCCTTAAATGTACGGGAATTGTCCATGAATTTTTTATCCAGAATGTAGTAGACACCCTGCAACCGTTGAAGCCATTCCACACTGCACGTGGCATGCGTAGCTGGATGTACGCTAGGTACCTATCAAAATATCGCTTCCCTGCTTATCATATGAGACAATTCACACACAAGGCCACAGCCACGATCTACGCCCGCTAACTGGCCACGCGTGGCTACTGTTTGCTCCTTGAGCGATCCTTTTAAAAGTGGTGGACACATTTTGAGCCTGCGCATGCGCAGAGTGTTCATTCTAAAATCAGTGAAAAATTTGTCATTTTCGGGCTTGAGATCACGCATCAAATGATTAAATTCTCGACAACGCTATCTTTATCTGTTGATTGGATGTAGGCCTACTCACTCATGTCTTTTGTCAAACTATATAATAATACTAGATTATAATCACTACTGCTGCTGCTGGTGCTGTTTGTAAGCCAATGTAAGCCGCACAAAAATTCTGAGCTGACATCCTAACTACTGAATTTTGGAATACTGACGGTAATAACGATGATAAATTGGCAGGTACAGCATCCACGGCTTGTGAATTGGCGCGTAGCAAGCGTGGCCGGTGTGACGTACATCCAGCCGTGCACGCCATGTGCAGTGTGTAAAGGCCTTTAGGGCCCATCAACTATGTCAGCAACAAAATATAAGGTACAAAATAGAATTTTAAACATCAACAGATTCTGTGACTGGCTCGCACAATGTTCTTTTTAAATGAAAAATTGGCAACAGCTGGTCGATATTGATGTGATGTTTACTTCAGTATCCAATAATAAATTATAATACTAATTACTAACCCTTCACTTTTTACAGATTGAAATTGACACATTCTCTCAGCTGATTCAACAGTGTACCTCTACAATGGTGGAACCTATAAATCAATATATTGCCAACCTGAGCACTAATGTTATAAATAAATCACCTTTCAGTAAAAGCACACAAGAATATCTCCTTTTGAAGAATCTTACTTCTTCCAGTTTTTCTGAAGATGATCCTTTAAAGGTTAGTCAAATACTGTAAAAATTGTATTCATTTATCATTCATAGCATCCTGTAATACAAGGCCGCTGCATTGGTATGTGGCAACGTCACATCAGCCTATTGCTATGGTAATAACCGTACCTGTAAAACAAAGGTTTAATCACAAACGTGTAAACATAAATATTGCGCAGACGCCCAATTGTGAATTAATGCAACAACTGTTTTAGTAGGCCGGAACTGCGGCTTTGCCACTTTTGTCTCATCGTGGCCTTGTATTACAGTAGGCCATGGTAACATAATTCATCATTAGGTATCATTAAGTATCCTATACATAAAAAGAAACACTGTGGCATAGAAACATAATTATTATATTTTGTGAGAACATATTAACGATAACAATAACATATTTGCTCGGGAAACAAACTATTTATTTTTTCCTATAGTCACCTGACAAAGTGGGCTTCCTTGCACTGATTAGTGATTATAGTACATAAAGCTGCTAATTGTTGCATTTACTTTGCTGCACACTTTTTACTTTGTAGCAATCAGTATTCTAACAAAACAACACAAAGTAGCGTGCTTTTATTATGCACGTAATTCGTGTACGCCTGGAAATAGGTTGGTAACACTTAAATATATTATGACTAGGATCAGCTGGTGCAACGTTTCCAATTTTGTTCAATGTTTGGATTTAACCTAACCAAAAAACGTGTTGTACAGTGTTTGAAGGACTAATTATTTATATGATTTATAGTAACTGTAGAAAAAATATAATGTGTTACACGAGTGCAAAACTACGTACACAAATAACTATTTCTATGATATTTATTTTTTGAGATTGTTTTTTGTTATGTAGCAAAAATTTATTTGTATCAGAAAACATTTTCGAGTTAAAAAGTAAACATGGATGGGTGACGAAACTGACGATATTGGACGTCCTTTGTGCTCCTTTTTCATCGCAGCTGACTTCCCAACTTGGTCCACAATGTTAATTTATTGTTGTCGTGTTTGTTGTAATTGCTGTTTATTGTTCCAGGTAGTAGGCCAGATAGATGGTGTAATAGCCTTGATGTTGGTGAGATTAACTGTATTCTACGCTGCTCGTGTGGGCGATGGAAACTTAGTTGATAGATGTACAAGGTAACTAATATGGGGAAACTCTGATCAGTCTATTCTTATTTGTGTCTCATTGGAAAGGAAAGAGTAAATTGTATTTTAGCTATGAAATTTGTGATAAATTTTAGTTAACATTGCTACATGTACGTAAAACATTGCATTTGTTGTTAACAAAAAGGTCAATCATTCGATTATGCCTACAATGAATATAACAGAAAAATATTTTTAAACGCTCTTAACTCTGAACTGCAACATTTTGTTACAAACCAGTGTAAAAAACAGTTTTGCTTGGGGGAAGTGATAAATAAATTGAACCAATGCTTTGAAGTATTAGTCTATGAAAATATCTTGTATATTTGTTGAACTGTGAGAGTATAGTTTTTTTTGTACTTTTTACATAGCACTAAGACCAAATTATGAAAAAAAATTGTTTAAACGAAAAAAGTTGCTCAACAATGATCATTATTTATATCTTATGTAAAATCTATAAGCAGATGATCCATGATTCCTCTTCAGTAAAATCTTGTTACTTGACTGTTAAATAGTGTAGGAAAATCTTGAATTAAATTGTTTTATGAAAATTGTAATTATCTGAAAAGAATTTTACCTACAATTTCCTGACAAAGCCGGTTTTCTTGCACTGATTATAACACGCAAATTAGATGATTCCTGCATTTACTTACTTTCTCGCACTCCAGTATTTTATCCAAACAACAGAAAATAGTTTGCATGTATTAGGCTATGCACATAATACTACCCTTGAAACAAGTTGGCAACACTAACTAAATCGATCAGCTGTTGCAGTGTTTATTTGTTGTTCAACACTTTGGACTTAACCTATTACAGTATTTCATTAAAATTTGTATTTGTTAACTTGTGAAACAATTTAATTTAGGTTTGAATTTGTTAATTTGTGAAACTAAATAATAAAAAGTCCATTTGTTTATACAACTTATAAATACCACCCAATATTTATATGTTTTATAGTAACTGTAGGAAAAGTATAATGTGTAACACGAGCGCAAAGTGTCTTTGCTGCACTCGAGAAACTTTCCTCTCATAACATTTGTCTCAAGTGCAGCAAAGTGCCACTTTGCGCACTAGTTACACAAATACCTTTTGTGATCTGGATCAATTGTTTGTGATGGTAGAAATAGTTTTTAATGTTAACTAACAGTACCCATAAGAGTATTAGTTTTAATTTTCATGTGGGTTCTTTTACATTAAAGTACTTGCCAAACTAATCTTCTAGCTTAGTTAAATTTCAAAACATGTGTGTCCAGGGTACTGAAGGCTCTGATGTGCCAGTTAGTAAATGACAGCACTTTGAGAGCTTCTGCACTGGAGGAGGTGTTTCTGCACCCGCTAGTGTTGCAGGGATTCAAGCCTCATCAAACCTCGGCCAATCTCACTCCTCTAGTGCTTAGTCTGGTGGACCATGTTGGCTCCTCAGACCACACCATGCTAAAACCCTACAGGCAGAGGTAAGGATTAATTTTAATTGTAACTATAAGAATTTAAATGAATCTCATAATGTAATTTTGTTTGTTCAACATTTAGAACCAAACACCCTGTGGTAGTTATTACTATTAGTACAAACCCCTTCAAAATCAGTAGATGTACTAATCTCTGACTTAAATACGTAGATGTTTGCACTTTTTTCCTAGTAAAAAAAACCATCTCAACATGTTATTTACGTTTTTCTGAGTGTTGGATCACATTGACTAGTATTGTAAACCTAGTGAGGAAATGCTCCTGTCATTGGATGAATAAATTTATTTGAATTTTCACTTTTCAGTGTCTAATATAGCAATATACATATTTTACCTGAAAGAAAAAAAAAGATTGATTACTGGGATGTCAATAAATTAATCTGACTGCTTCGTTTAAATAAACAAGATACAGTGTAAACTAACTAAGCTTTATTGATTACAATCTGTTTCTGTAATGGTTTATTTAATTATCATTATAAGTCAGGCTTAGGTGCCGTAACATGACTGTCATTTTGTTGCAGGTTTTTAGACAGCACATTGAAGCTATTAAGGAAAAACAAGAAAGACAAAAGTCCTCACATTGCAAAAACATTCTCAAGACTGATATCAGGAGAAGAGGTTGTTGCTATCTTAACTGCAATCGTAGAATCAAACACTGAGTAAGTTTTGTTTTTGTCATTTCATTACCTATACCGTATGGTCAAAAGTGACTTGTCTTATGGCCCTAGTACACTCTCGCTGAGGCAAGGCAAGCAAGTGCGAGTGGGAGAGTGTACTCAGTGCGCTCGGCTTCTTTCGCTATGACTCGGGTTGCCTCTCCTCGCCTAGTCTTGGGCTCACCTGCGCTCCGTCTGGAGTTGGTTTTTGACACAATTCAGAGGACCCGAGACTGCACTAGTGCCAAGCGCATAAAGCACTTCCATTTCAAATGCAAGACAAAGCGAGAGTGTACATGGTTACGTCGCATGCGATCTATGCCGAGCTCTCGCCCAAATTACTTTGCGAGCGCGTCGGAGAGCACCTAGGCGATAGTGTACTGGTAGCATTAAAGGATATACTTTCGACAAACCAGTAGTAATTAAGAAAGTAAAGTAGAACTTGTGGAATCGGTTCCCATATAGACTAAAGAAAAGTGATATAGAACGGTGACCCTGTTGTACCTGAGCTACTCTTTTTGTAAGTGGGTTATACGGGCTTGCCTACGGAGAACCATCTTTAAAATTCCTGATTGTTTTTTAAACTTTTACATATTCTTTTATTATTTTGTTAGGATGTTAAGCTTATCTGCAATGGGGAGAGTCCAACCTGGCATGTAGGAAATACAAAAGTTAGAACATTTCACTGTCACTGAAAGCATTTTCAACCAAGTTTGAGCTGGGAAGAGACTTGTCTTCAGAATATTAACAGTCTTTGCTGTCAGTTGCTGTGTAATATTCTAATTTGTGTTTATCATAAAAATATTTTTTCTAGAAGGTTATATTCCCTATTCAAGTAAACTATCCAAACAAAATACCTTCAAACGTAGGTCCCTGTGCTCTGTGTTACATCCATATTGTTAAATTAGTATCTTTAAAATGAGAACAGAAGGAATACCGTGTTATGTTGTTTCAGGCTTGACCAATGGCTAGACTTGACAGAAAGTCTGTTAGAAGCAGCTGTCACTCTACGTTGTGCTCTGCCTCCAGAAGTGATCACCGTAATGTCCAGGTGTGATAGTCTACAGGAAGCTCTTGCCTCATACCTAACTGTCTTTACACACCTCATGGACTATTTAGATATGGGTAAACAACTTTGATACAGATTATTTTGCCTCTATTAGAAAATCCACCTGTATGATAGTTCAAAGCAAATTACTCTGAAGTTTAATTAAAGATATATATTACTAGCAGAGTACCCGTCCTTTGTACGGGGTTAGCATATAAGTATAAAATGCTTATTACAGTACAGTTATGGGAGAGGACACGCTGCACCCTGTTGGTAAACCTATTAACTTTTTAATGCTATTGAACATCACAAAATCAAATTGTTCAGTTGAACCAGCTGTTAAGATTCTTTAATTCCATTTAAATATAAGTTCTCATAAGATTAACATGGGGAACTACAGAGCCACTGGGGCGGAGCCCGAAAGGATTTTTGAGATAAGAATATGCCTAGGCTAAATGTTAATCGGGAATGTGAGCTATCATCATGCCAAATTCCAGCCCAATCCGTCCAGTAGTTTGTGCGTGATTGAGCAACACACAAACTCACAAACTTTCAGATTTATAATATTAGTAGGATAGTAAGATAAGATTATGGAAAAAAATAATTTGTCAGATTTAAAATTGTATTAAATATTTTAAAAAGTTATTGCAGTATCCGGTAAGCTAAGCACTAAAATTAATCTAGCCTACTAACATTCACTAATGTCAATTCAGAAATTGTGGTCTTAAAAATATTATTTCTTCTTGTGTCGTATTTTGCATTTATTTCAATGCCCTTAAATTTGTCCTGTACATACAAAATGTAAATGATATAGATACATTAAAATTGGTTGCTAAATTAGTATGTGGTGATTCTGTGTAACTTGAGTTCATGTTAAGTGGAAAACAATTTTGTAATCTAAGACACATATACTTTTACAATCCAGGTTTGTGGATTACAATCTCAGAAGGGATAGTACTCTATTATGTTTCAAATTCCATTCACAGAATCTGGTTACTTTTACATTTAATTCTTGAATTTTTATAAACTTTTTTCAACATCCAGATCATTTGACGAGCAAACAAGAGCAGTTGAACAAACTGTGCTGCCTGAGGTTGAAGTTTGACTTGGAAGGAGTTTTATTGAAGAAGCTTCTGAAGAACAACAAGAAGAATCCGCAGGTGTTGTTTGCGTCATTGGCTTCGAGTGACTCCTCTTCAGCCTCAATGTTCCTCAAACACTCGTCTCAGATGGTGAGAGGTATGGTGGATGCTCTCAGCGCAGACGACAAACCCTCCTGGCTCACAGAACACGCTGATGTTATCGGGACTTACCTCAGTCAGTTGCCAGGTATGATTGTTTAAGTTGCCTGAATCATAGTGAGTTGAGTAGTTAAGTAGATTTAGATCAAGGTAAGATTTTTAGTTTTTTGGTTATGTTGTGAATGTTGTGATAAAACTGAGTAGGCCTATTTGTTATCTAAATAAGTTTTAAACAATTCTAAATATTTTAAGATATTAGGACTCAACTGTCCTAATATCTTAAAATTTCTCTTGGTTCGTCGGATTCGTAGCAACGCAGTCGGATCAGATAGCATTCCAATTCGTTTTATAAAAGACATTCTCTTTGCTATACTCCCAACTGTCACATGCATTTTCAACACATCACTAAGGCAAAGTGTTTTCCCTATTTCTTGGAAGTCTGCCCTTATTCGTCCATTAAATAAGATCCCAGCCCCGGCATCTTGCCAGGATTTCAGGCCGATCAGTATATTGCCCGCATTATCAAAAGGCCTTGAAAGAATTGTGCACTGCCAAATGACGGAATTTCTGACTGACAACAACATACTTTGCAGCTTTCAGTCTGGTTTTCGAACGGCACACAGCACAGAAACAGCACTATTACGTGTGACGGACGACATTAGACAAGCAATGGAACGTCGGCAGGGTACAATTCTAACACTATTTGATTTTTCGAAAGCTTTCGACTGCGTAAATCATAATCTTCTTCTGGAAAAGTTAAGGGCCATAGGGTTTTCAAATGGTGTATTGGACTGGCTGGGATCTTATCTGTCAGGCAGGCGGCAATGTGTTGAGGTTGATGACGTACGATCTGACTGGGAGACAGTTACTTGTGGTGTGCCTCAGGGGTCAATCCTTGGCCCTCTACTGTTTGTACTATACATAAATGACCTGAGCTCAGTCCTCACACACTGTAAATACCATATGTATGCCGACGACTTACAGATTTATACGCATTTCTCAGCAAAATATATCAATGACAGTGTTCTAAAAATCAACGAAGACATCGAGAAAATCATTACCTGGACTGAAAAACATGGACTTAGACTAAACCATACAAAAACAAGACCAATAATAATTTGTCATTCACGTTTACGAAACTCAATTGACCTTGACACAGTGAACTCAGTAACTATAAATGGGACAGCTTTACTTTACTATGACAAAGTGAAAAATCTAGGACTTACTATAAACTCGACGCTTACTTGGGGAGATGCAGTATTAGACATACGTAAAAAGGTGTTTGCTTCAATCCACTCACTGAAGAAGTTACAGAATTTTTTACCTTTACACATAAAGTTACACCTAGTAAAATCACTTGTCTTCCCTCACTTCACTTACTGTAACTCTGTGATCAATGACATGACTGTAAATCTCGCTGATGCTCTCCAACGCACTCAGAACTACTGTATAAGATTTGTTTATGATCTGAGACGTAATGAGCGCATCACTCCTTTTTATGTTGATTCTAAATTACTAAAACTATGTGACCTAAGATCAATAAAAATTCTTATGATAACCTATTCAATATTAAAAACAAAATTTCCAAAATATTTTTTAAACGACTTCAAATTTGTAGCTGAAGAAAGTGTAAGAAATTCACGTTCTGCTTCAGTAACTTTGCGTATGCCTCATCATAGAACGGCAGTTTATGACAGAGCGTTTGTTGTTTCTGCTTGTCGCCTTTGGAATGATCTCCCTCTAGCCATAAAAACCCTTGATAGCCGTCCCCGGTTTGTGACAGCACTAAAAAATCTGTTTTCTGGACGTATGGCCATGGTTGGTATGTCCTAGGCGTGCGCTTGGTTGATCACTGACAGGTGTGCGTGTGTGTGTGCTAGTTCTTGCGAGTGTGTGTTGTGTGTGTGCGTGTGCGTGTGTAGGTGTGTGTGTGTGTGTGTGGGTGTTTATGTAAGGTGGTATGTTTTAAAAGTTTATTGTTTCTTTTTACATTAAATATTGTAAATAGATTATAGTATTTTATTTGTATTGTACATTGTTTTGTTTTATTTGTATGTTTAGATTTGTATAAACAGGTTAAGTGTAAGAGTCCCTAAGTGGCCCTAACTTTGCCTGACTAAATAAATCATTTTCATTTCATTTCATTTCATTTCATTTCAATATTTGGAAAAAACAAAAAATCAAAGTGAACATGTCATAATACAATATGTCAACTATCAATTTTAAATTTTTCAAGATAGGGTCGCCACTATGTGCGTATTTCAACCCAAATATGAGTGAAGGATGAGTGGCGCGATCTTGTAGTCTTGTTAGTGACTAAGGCAGACATGTTCCTCAGCCACAGTTATCAGTTAATAGCCCATACAGCCAATGACAACTAAGGGGCCTACAGTTTATAGTGGAATCTGAACCACATTTTTTCCTTGTAATTACCAAATTGGTTTAATTATCAGGGTAGTACTGTGGATAGTCATAGTACTCACTAGTGCAGATGTTAATCCACATCAGGGAGCATCGCATCCACAGTGCATGCCTATAAATGACCACAATTCATGACCTCCTAGTAGCTGGATTACAGGATGTTGCCACCGTCCCAGTCAATTAGTAACTACCTTTTTCATTAAATTTTCAGATAAACATGTATGACTACACAAATTTTAGATTTGCACTTATTTGTATTTTTCTTTCAATTTCTTATGTGGCTTCTAATAACATGCCAGATGCATACTGCCATATAGCACACTTTTTGTCTCTTAGTAAATATTTATTTATTTATTTTAGAATAAATAAGAAAAAGTGTTCCATAAATGTGCATTCAAGAAGTTTTAAGAAAATATATGGGGTTGTTTGCATGATTCAAGGATTGCACAAAGAGTAAGAAACATTTGTTTGAAAACTATGCTAATGAAAGTCTGGAACATTCTGTGACTCAGTGTCAATCTAGTTGTATCCTAGCAGTTCCAAGCTATGCATCCATTACATACAAGAGCCGTCCAGAAAGTAACAGACATTTTGGATTTACACCGCTTTGGCCATCTTAGTATCAAAGCGTTCTACACACTCAGTGTGCATTCAGATACAGGAACGAGCGCATCATATTTCTCGTACATTATCTGCAGTTTAGTGTTAAGCAATTTTTTTGTCGGCCTTCATTCATTACTACTTTGCCATTAAAACCCCAAATATCGTGATAATTTTCAAATGGTTTGTAAATTTTCACAAAGAAATATCTGGTCATGAAGCCCACAAATGGCGGGGACAGTGCAATGACAGTACTCATTTTTAACACTCCATTGCAGGAAAATTACAAAAGATATTATGCATATGCTTCATGCTTGATGCTTCTATGGTTAGGTGTGTACTGAGTGTAGGAACGCTTTGATGATGCAGATAGTCCGTCCTGAGCGATGCCAATGCAAAACGTCTGTTACTTTCAGGTTATCCCTCGTAGTTTACAGGTTGTCAATGATCAATCACAAAACTTTGTTTCAAATAGTTCATAACCTTTTATACCCAGTTGAAAAATTAGGAAAGTACAAGGCTTCTCCAGAAAGTAAGTACCGTTTTGGAAAAAACACACAGATAATAAAAAAATGTATTTCTACAAGAAAGAGGATATCTTAAACTACTTTCAGCAAGCTTCACGTTCCATGTGTTCAAAAATCGTATTACAGAACTAGGGATGGTCAAGTCTCGAAATTTCGGGAAATTTTAAATCTCGTTACACGAGACGAGATTTATTTTTGGCCGAGATTTTTATCGAGACGAGAAAAAAAAAAAAAAAAAAAAAAAAATTAAAACGCCTGCAGAAAGTCAATGCAATACCCGCAATACAGGAGCGTGTTGTAGTTGCGTTTCCTTTGCGAAGGCGTTCTTATTTAATTAATTCTTCAAATGTAAATATTACTTTAATTATTTTAATAACATTTGAGAAGTTTTGTTAAGTGTTAGCAGTGTGAGGATGTTTTATTACTATAAAAAAAGTCAAAACAAGTAACTATTTTATAAAAATTAATATTTTATTTTATGATTTATTTTATTTTAGGATAAGTTGAACTCTATCCTAACTGATATCACTATGTTTCCTAATCGTAGGCATTTTTAATAATTTAGGCGTGATTAATAAAAAAATGTTATGCTGATGTTTTTTAATAAAAGATTGTAAATATTCTTGCCTATTATCATTATTTTTGTATTTAAACAGTCATCTAACAATGTTACAAAATCAGGTAACAATTCCGAACGTGCATTTCTCGTTGTGTATGAGAAGGGAAATCCCGTCTCGATCTCGTCTCGAAATTTTATGAGAAATAAAAAATCTCGTCTCGTCTCGTCTCGAAACTAAAAATCCAATCTCGTCCATCCCTAAGAACGCATTTTGCAGTCCGCGGGATCAGAAATTGTTTCAAACATTTTGGGTGCACACTAACTAATGTAAATACAACACAATTAATTGTGCCGTAATTGCATCAGCTGTTTCAACAATGAACCAAGGAGACTAGTGTGCATGCGCGTTACATCGTTAGTGCTGTGCCGGCGGTAGAATGAAACGGTACTTACTTTCTGGACAAGCCTTGTAAATCATTTTGCAACAATTGTACTACAAAAATATATTAAAAATTGTATACAGTAAAAAAATCATGAATACATAATTTAAAAAATAACAAATACAAAACAAAACATAAAATATTTACAACAGTAATCACTACCGCAGGAACCGTTCATATTTGATAAGAAATATTTGACCTGACAGTGAACGGATGTAGAACTCGTTTGGGTAGGTTTTGACATAGTTAGAGTCAACGAGGTAAAAAGCTTGACGGATCTGCATTCTTTGAGCTTTCCTTCGGGTGAAGACCATCTGTAGCTCACTGGTGTCCGCCAGTTTTGGTGGTTCTCGAAACCTTTCCATGCCACTGAGCTCTTTCGCTACACTGTGGGCTGAAACAAAATTAAACTGTTTAATCTTTGTACTTAGTTGATATAAAAGAAAGCTGTATAGGTGAATGGTTATATTGCTTGCCTGAAAATCACAAGACTGATGGTTCAATCATTAGAAAACTTAGTAGTTTCTCAACGGTTTGAAAT